CAAAATAATTTTCAATTGTAAATATAATTCAATACAATTACGGTTAGAATGTTACAATGACAGGTACAACACTTCGTAGCAGTTCCAAAACTTATGATAGGACTTACCAAGGTCATCCAATGCATTTTATTCGGGCCATTCCGCAGATTGTGATGGAGTTGGCCCAAGTCCACAAAACATATTTTCATTTTTTTCAAAAATACCAAAGCGCGGCCGCGGACTGATCAGATTTCGGAGTCGGGAAAAAAAATTGAATTCCAGAGGGAGTGATGTTCAAGAGAGGAGGAGCTTGAGTATCACCAGGTCGATCGAGGAAAGGAATCCATGAATTCCAAAGAGAATTGCAGAAACGAACTCCGAACTGCCGTCCTTCAACTCAGCGATCGCTGCCTTTACTCCGCTTCCAAATGGTACTAGCTTTCTATAAACCCTAAACCCCCAATTTCTGTCCCCTTGATTACACCTAAATACATTTAAAAGATGATGCTAAAAATGTATTAAATTTTTACCCTTTTGCCCCCTTCTGCGTAATAAGCGATAAAGTTCCATTCTTTATGATTTATTTGCTTAATGAGGCGTAAGATTGACAGAATTATCATTGAAATTTCAGCAATGTTGTTCCTTTTGTTTATAGAAGAAGATGTTTGATCTCTGGTAGGTTTTGTGGGTGATGAATTTTAATGGGTTATTATGTACAGGGCAGCAGAGCAACTTGTGGGGATCGAGCATGACCCAGCAAAGTTCACACCCTCAAACACAAGGTTCCAGCGTGGAAGTTCGAGCATCCGGAGAAGATTCCGCACCAATGAATTGACTTCCACACCGGTCACCGGTGTGTCTTATGTATCCACGCCAGTAATGGAAGAGGATGAGGCAGTGAATGGTGATTTCTACCTTCTGGCAAAATCATACTTTCATTGCCGAGAGTATAGAAGGGCTGGTCATGTCCTTCGCGAGCAAACTGGGAAGAAATCTGACTTCCTGCGCTGTTATGCTCTTTATCTGGTTAGTTAGACTTAGACTCCCCTGTCATATACTTTTTCATTGTGTACTATATGCTTATTACTTTTGATAGTTATGCCACATGATAGCTATGTTCATATTTGGTGTTTCTTATGGTTCTTTAGTTTGGGCAGATTGTGCTTCTTTGGATACATTAATTGGGAAGAAAATTGGAATTATATTTGTTTGAAAGAAAGACATTTCTTTTACAAGTCTGGTGGAATGTTACATAGTGCATCTTGTTATAGTGGAAAGTCTTCTGCAGTGTTTAGTTGTTGATAAATGAAGAAGATTGTCACTGTCCATAAGGTAATGCAAAAAGAAGATAGAGAATTACTGTGATGCAAGGTAAGGGGAAAATGATGTGTTTAATAGTGTACTTTTCTAAACACAAATTAAAACCATATTGAGAAAAGTTTTTAGTCTTTGTGCTTTATGTGATTCATTTTCTTTATCAGGCACAGGGAGAGAGAGTCTTTTGTTCTTTATGAGGTCCTAATTCCATGTTTGCATTCTATAAGTTCAATTACAAATTTACACAACAAATGAGCAATTTGGGGACTCCTAAACTTAGATAGCGGTAGCTTTGGTCCATCATAGGTATTCTAGTTGATCGTGATTTGTCATGCTCGTCTCTACTTGCTTACTGAAAGTTTCAAACATTTATTGGTTGCATTCAATCTATAAAGTTACTTCCAAGAGGATATCTACCTGATGTAAAGATTAGATAGTGTAATAAAGCTTTTGTTACAGTTTACAGTCTCTATTTTTTACTCTTTCATTGCATAATGTAGGCTGGAGAAAAGCGGAAAGAAGAAGAGATGATAGAACTTGAGGGGCCCTTAGGTAAGAGCTACGCTGTCAACCGTGAACTGGTTTCTCTGGAGAGGGAGTTATCTGCACTGCACAAGAATGGAATGCTTGATTCCTTTGGGTTGTACTTGTATGGTCTCGTCCTTAAGGAGAAAGGCAATGAAAATCTTGCTCGTACAGTCCTTGTGAATTCTGTGAACAGTTACCCTTGGAATTGGAGTGCCTGGTTAGAGTTGCAGGCTTTGTGCTCTACTATTGATATCCTGAACAGCCTTACTCTCAATAATCACTGGATGAAGGAGTTCTTTCTTGCCAGTGCTTATCAAGAGCTCAGGATGCATAATGAGTCATTAGCAAAATATGAACACTTGCAGGGCATTTTTGGTTTTAGTAACTATATACAGGCTCAAATTGCAAAAGTTCAGTACAGTTTAAGGGAATTTGAACAAGTTGAAGTGATATTTGAAGAGCTTTTAAGGATAGACCCCTTTCGAGTGGAAGACATGGATGTATATTCCAATGTGCTCTACACAAAGGAATGTTTCTCTGCCTTAAGCTATCTTGCTCACAGGGTTATCTTGACTGATAAGTACAGGCCTGAAACTTGCTGTATTATTGGGAACTATTACAGTTTGAAAGGGCAACATGAGAAGTCAGTAATGTATTTTAAGAGAGCACTCAAATTAAACAAAAATTATTTGTCTGCCTGGACTCTTATGGGTCATGAATATGTTGAGATGAAAAACATTCCAGCTGCAGTTGATGCCTATCGTCGTGCTGTAGACATCAGTCCTCGTGATTATCGAGCATGGTATGGATTAGGACAAACATATGAGATGATGGCCATGCCATTCTATGCTCTACACTATTTTCGAAAATCTGTTTTCTTGCAACCAAATGATTCTCGGTTGTGGATAGCCATGGCTCAATGTTATGAAGCTGAACAGCTGCACATGGTTGAGGAGGCAATCAAGTGTTACGGAAGAGCAGCAAATTGTAATGACAGGGAAGCAATTGCCCTGCATAAACTAGCAAAGTTGCATAAAGAACTTGGTCGTTCTGATGAGGCAGCATTCTACTACAAAAAAGACTTGGAGAGGATGGAAGCTGAAGATAGAGAAGGGCCTAACATGGTTGAAGCTCTGATGTTTCTCGCTCAACACTACAAAGCGCGCAACAGATTTGAAGAGTCAGAGGTGTACTGCACTCGCCTTCTGGATTATACTGGCCCAGTGAGTTTTATTACTTTTCTTTTTTGTATATAGCTCAAAATTACTGCATTTACCAATTTCTCTGATGCATCCAAATATTGAAATAAGTTACTAATTTTTCAATGCTCTATCCATGACTGCAGGAGAGAGAAACTGCGAAGAGTCTGCTTCGGGGAATGAGAATGGATCGATCTGGTTTTCCTTCAATGGATGTTGAACATTTGCCCCCATGATCATCCCTACTGGATCTATTTTATCTTTTTTGATCGATCCCTACTTAATTAATGTTTGAGGAATTATTGGAAGCACGTAGTCCTTCCTCGAATTTGGGAAATCAGAGACCAGCAATCTGTTTTGGGATATCTCAAAATTATATGGCAAGCATGTTTTGGTCAGTAGTGCTACAGAGTCAAATCTTCTGATAGTAGGGATAGGTTCCATGATTGTAACATGAGATTTTTTTTTTTTTTTACCAAGTGTTGTATCTTAACATTGCAAGTCTACAACCAAGGCATGGGGCACGTAAGACTGTGTAAGTATAAACTTTCTGAAGCATTTGTAGTTAGCTCATTATTTATCAATGTAGTACCAGGCCGGGTAAGCTTATCTATTTGATTGCATAAGAGGCAACCACAGGAACTACTGCTTGAACTTGCTTTGTACTGTCCAAAGCAAAGGATTTCCATTTTTGCGATCAGAATTGTTCTGTATTCAGTAAATGGATGTTCTGTAGGACTGGTTAACATTTTAGAAAGCTTCCTTTACAAAAGTTGCGTAGTGCTTGTTGAGGAATCATATAAGACTGCAAGATTCTTTCAGTAATTCGCTCTGCATTTTGTTATTGGGAGAATTCTGGTTTTCCACCATTATTATTTTATAGTTATGGCTATAATGTTTCAAATTGCAAATAAAGCAAACATAAAGAACAGGAACACCAGTTTTTACGCACCAAAAGCATGGTAGCATGTAAGGCTTAACAATATGAAATGGATTTCATAATAAAGATTACCATTGCTTATTTTACATTATTTCCAGTTCAACGCTATCAACTAAGAGAGTTTCAAACACGTATTACAAAAGCAAGACAACCCCCTATTACGTAAGGCATGAGTTTTTCAAGTAAGAAACTTCATGACTCTTGAGCAGTTTAAGCTTTGCCTGGGTCCGAGAAGAAGCTATTGATCGACGGCATGATTTCAGGAGCCTTGTTGCGAACATACTTCCTTAGGAAATGCTCAGAATACTTCTGTCCCTCGGCATAGTTCTCCAGAACCCCTGCCGCCCGGTTCTCCTTGTTCACCCTGATCCAACGAAAACCAAACAGAAAATTTTTAAAGATACCCAAATACCAAATCCAGCTAAAAATCGATTTCTAAAGAAGGGGTCATCAAACACCATGTTCATCATCAAGATTATTCATTCCTACAACTCCAAACATCAAAATTGACTTCAAAAAAGGGGATATCAAACTATACACAAATGCCAGAAATTTAGAGGAAATTTATCATCCGAATACAGAAAAAGAGAGAAGAAGAAGAAAGAAAATAGACCTGACTTCAGGGTTGATGCGGATATTTCGCACCAGCTGCATTCCACAAATTCCTACAGCCACACCAACGGCTGCGAACAGCGGAAACACCTACACAACACCATACAAAGAACCGTCCAGAACTAAGATCAGTGGCGAGATGACTAAGAAGAGTCAGCAAAATCAACGGAGCTAAATGATTGAAAGCAAGGATAAACAGCGCATCTTCACTTACCTCGGGCCTCAACCACCTGTTCGCCATCGGCTCGAGGAGAGAAAGCTCGGAATTGCAGAGAAGTGAGAAGGGAAAGGAAGTTGAAGATGGCGGACTCGTTTTTCTTGATGGTGATTAAGACTTTAATATTATCTGAATAGAGTAAGGCATTTTTTTTTTTTTTGAACAATTGGTCATGGGACGGGTCGAACCCGCCTAAGAGGCGGGAGATGCACTTTTCACTGTAGCAGTTGCCACTAGACCGGAAGGTCAGAAGGCCAGAAGGCCAGGTGCAAGTAAGGCAATTTACGTGGTTGAATCTGCCTAGTTGATATAATTGTCAAGTTCCATGAGAGGTGAAGATTTCCCATTAGAAAACAACTATTCAAGCATATTTGATGAAATTTGTAAGGATTTTTATTTTTTTATATTGTTTGTAAGTGATAAATTTAAATTTTTATTGAAAAAAAAATTTAAAAGTTACTTTTAAAAATATAAAAAAAATAAGAAATAAGTAAAAAAAAATTTATAAGAAGCATAAATTTAAAATTTTTTAAAATTTATTATATAAGATTTTTAAAAAAAATTTAAATTTATAAAATATAAATAATGTCAAAAAATTAAAAGTCTTACCAATTTTACCAAATATGCTCCAAAGTTTAGGCATAATATTTATTTTCCTTCCTTATAACATTTCAAAAGGCCTTTTTCCTTCTTAAACCTTTAACTTATTTCAAATTAACACGTGAGCACAAATAAACTATTAAATCCTTTAAATGATATAAAGTAATTTTTAAATTTTTCAAAAGATACAAACTAGCCTTTATCATTAATGACTTAATGGATGTGACCTTTATCATTTTTTTAATTAAATCTCTAGTATTTAAAAATTTCATTGGATCATAATGAATTTATAATGAATTTGAAATTGAATTAAATTAGACTCTATAAATAAAGAAACTCTCTTGATACTTATTTTTTTATTTATAAAATTTAAATTTAAAATTTTATTTAAAAGAAACTAAATTGCTTATATTTAGACCAACTAGCCATTGATTTATGTCATCTATTTTTTTCCTCAACTTAATCCTACTTCTTTACACGGATACTAATATGCATCAAATGACCTCTTGGACAATAAAAATCCCACAAAAATGACACACGTGGCCTCTCTTTTGTATTTAGTATTTTCAGGCTATGTAGATTACTTTGGTGGGCTTTTTAGTGTTCATGAGGATTTTTGATTCACATCAACGTTCGCGTAGAAAAGTAGGATCAAGTAAAGGAAAATAATAGACAACGTCGGGTTACATGCATTAAGGAAGCATTAAGGAAGGTTGATTGCATCTTTTAAGGAGTATGAGGACTAATTTGCACCATTCAAGAGATTTGAGAACTTATTTGCACTGTTTTTAATTTACGACTCATGTAACAAATTTTTTTTATATTAAATGATGAACTATACTAAAGGAGATAATTATTTTTTTTTTAAATCTTTTTTCACTTAACTCAATATTAAAATTTAATATCTCTAATTTTAAATTTTAAAATTTTAACTAAGTTTAGACTCTTGCATTAATTTAGGTAAGGCTAGAGCACCTACGAGGGGTTTGTTTTACCTTTTAATAAAAAGAAAGTAAAATTTTGAATTAGAAAGCCAAGTTTTGACTTTTAATTTTAAATGGACAAGTAGTAAGTGATAAAAATCTAATATTAGAGCATTTACTATTAAAATAAAGAGATTTGTATTTGTCAACTAAGTTTAAAAAAAAAAATTAAGAAAA